TTTTTTTTTTTTGTGTTTTTTTAAAGTTGATCTCTTTCAGCCCGTTGAAATTATAACTTGAACTCTTATACAAATTTATTTAATTTTTTTTTTAGTATCACAACAACCGCCATACTGACGCAGTTGGATTGTGACGCCGAATAGGAATGCCTGCTAATTGATAGGTTAACACATTCCTGCTCATCCAGTTTTTTAAGATAATTTCACACACACACACATGCAGCGGGATAGACAGTGATCGAGGAAATGATCTGCCCAAAACAAATTAGTCCCAAAGACACTGAGATCCTGGAGTCTCGTTATTGTCCCTACTGGAACTAGCGCTGTTTCATCCCGAATCAACACCAGGAGCATAGCGTCTGGCCCCGTCCCAGATTGGCGCATTGCCAGACTCTCGTGTACATGTCAACACCAAATTTTTCTCATGCCACACGGTGGCCCCTCCGACTGTGCTCTTTGTTCAATGAGTTATGGAGGCGGGGAGGGGGTTGTGCAGTTGCTGTTGTAAATTAGGGTGAGGTGTGAAGTGCGGTGTGTTGTGTGGCATGGGGTAGATAGGCTGCGGTGTTCGATACGTGACAGTATGGAAGGGGAGGTGAGGCTGCCTGACGTGGAGTGAAAGGAGCTGTGCGGCGTAAGCTGGTGCGATGTGAATGTTATTAAGTACCAGGTGGACAACAACTTGCTGTCGTGCTGCTGCACAGCATTTCCATCTACTCGTCATGCCCCTGATGCTCTCCTCCTCCTCCACATCATTTGATCTTTATCGCTTGGGTATCATTCGGCAGTAACAAAAGGTACTCCTCGTACACACGACCAAACCACTGCCACTGGGACCTTTTTTCCCCAGCTATCGCCGTCAAGCTGTTCTTCGGGGGGCGAGGGCGGCACATCCTTTTTGCTAGATCCCTTGGGGGAGGGAAAGATGTTCGAAAGTGCCAGCGATCAGCTGTACGCAGGGAGGGAAATGATGCATGTACGTATGTGCCACTGATAAGAATTGTTTGCAGGAGCATCGTTTCGCAGGGCCGAAGATGTCGGAGGAGCTGACGACGTTCGGTGACAGGAAGCGAAAGCTGGTCGCTGCGCATGTGCTTATCATCGGCTCGTTGCCAGCGGTCTGGCAGGGCCAGAGTGCAGCGCACTTCAACGACTCAATATTCGAGCTGATGCAGGCGAAGTTCGATCTCGGCCGCGAAACCATCGATCGCATCATCCGTTTTCCATGGGTTGATGATGAGCAGCAAGATCAGGTATGGCTTCTGAAGAGGTGAAATGAGGCAAAAGCAACATGCTCACTACTACGCGGACAGTAGCGCAGGCATCGGCAGCACTTCATGAGAGGGAGTTGGATGGAAATGTTTGGCGGTGTAGTTCTGCGGAGTCTACTTTCGTTTATATGCCGTAACAGATAAGCATTTGCGATCTGTACTGCCAGGAAGTGACAGTGTGGTGTGCAGATCGGGCTCTCTGCTGATGCAGAGGATTTCTCTCCACATGATCTGTGTTATTATTTTTGTTTTGCAGCTCCAGTGCGCCCATTGTCGTTGAGTAAGAAAGTTGTTCGCAGTGTACAATTCTCTGAAATGTCCGAAAATTTTCAAATTATCTTTCAGCCCTCCCTGTGTGACGCTTTGTCTCTTAGCATTCTCAATTATTACAGAATTAAAATTTATCTCACCATCAATTTATTTCACCACAAAAGTGCTGCGTTACCCATCAGTACTACCCGGCTTCCGCAGGGAAGCGTCATAGAAAAATATCCATCAGTTTATTCCCAAAATGATGCTTGGAAAAACAAAAGCAGGACTGTGCTAAACCCATCAATGCAGTTACGAAAACTGATTCGACAGATTTCGGGTGAGGGAAGGGGGA